AAATTTATTTGAATCTTTCTAATGAAAAAACTTTGTTTTTTGGAGATATAATGAATGTTTAGAATGTGTTCGAAAAATTAAGTTAACAAATTTAGAGAAATATTGATGAATAAAATTTTCATGCAACAAATACCTTTTTGTAGTGGAAATGAAAAATTGATAATTTATAAGAAAGTCAAGCAGAAAATTAAGATTTGGCATTATATATAAGTATTTCAATTAAATGTAACTTATTTCTGTGTTACAAAAAAAAAATCATTTCCTTTTCAAGCATAGCTTTAGCTGATGGTTTACGCTTTTACAGGATTTGCGCTCATGGCTATCTGCGAGATGAGAAAAGTTGTGCTGTATGCAAATGCGCTAAATGTCCACCGCTTCATCAATGTTACAAACATTGCTTATATGGCTTTGAGAGTAACAATAATGGTTGTCCGGTGTGTAAATGTCGAGGTATGCTTATTATTTCCTTTCCTTTTTTTCTTTATATAGTTCAAAGAACAGATTTTTTTCAAAAATTCAAAAAAAAAATTTATTCTAATTTGGGCGGCGGCGAGTTTGTTCTAAAATAATAATACACTTTGCTTTAAAATAATAATACAAATTAAAACATTGTTTATTTAATCTGTATTACGATTGCACATCAAAATTTCCAATTTGTTATTGAATATATTCATTAATATTTTTACGAATTAATAACTCGATGAGAAATTCCAATTTGTTTAAAAATTTTTCGTTTCAATTAAAATCAATATTAAATTTTTGCTATTTTTTTTTTCAGCAATGAGTCGAATTGATGCTAAATTGCTATCATTGAAAAAAGAGCACGATGGTTGGGATAAATGCTATTCATTTAGCACGCAAACGGGTAAATTATATGAGCGTGACAGTGGTGAATGGTGGAATGATGGCTGTCGACATTGTTTTTGTGAGCAAAAACATGTTAGTTAACTAATTAATTAATTTTGAATTCTTTGTCAAAATAAAAAAGTGAAATTAATTTTTGAAAGTTTAATACTTCACAGTTTCTCATTTGTTAAATTGATATTTGCTTTGTATGATTTCGATTCATATGCAAAAATTTATTCCTATGCATTTTTTTTACAAGTTTTGATTTAATAAAAACAATGATTAAACATTGTTTTTCTTTTCTTTCTCTTTTTCTTTTCTTTCTTTTTAAGGAATTTTGCTCACTAATTTCATGTCCAGAACGAAATGTATCATGTCCAATTGAACATTGGAAAAAAAGGGAAGGTAAATGAATTGTGAATATTTCATTTAAATTTATATCATGCTTATGTCAATATACATTTATATTGCAAAATGATAATAACTTCTTAATGAAATTAATTAACAAATGTTTTTTTTTTAATAGAGATGCATAAAGGAACATTAAAACTTGGTGGAACATTATAAATGTGAATATTCTCGTTACTGCAATATACCATTATAATATTCAGAAATGTACAAAAGTTAAAATTAAACGAAATTAATTAAATTAAAAAAAATATTTTATTTAAAGATGCTTGTTGTGCAAGCTGTGATTTAAAACCATCAATGGAACTATCGAAGCATGAGCATACGGTATGTCAGAGTGCTGGGCGATTGTTCGTTGATGGAGAAACGTGGCAATTAGCTCCTTGTACGTCATGTACCTGTCGTGTAGGTAATGTTTTATGTCGCGTGGTCGAATGTCCACCAATTGCGTGTCCAACGCCTATTTTTGATGAAAGAAACCAATGTTGTCCTAAGTAAGTTTATAATTTTCTTTCTTTTCCTTTTCTTTATTTCCATTTCTTCAAAAATAATTTCTTTTCTGTAATCAATTTTGATCGATAATTTATAATTCACCAAAATGTTGAATAATTTATATTTCTTAGCAAAATCTGATCATTTATTAAATTGGCAACTAATTTTCATTGTTGAAAAAAGAAAGAATTTTAAAAGTTTGATAAACCTTATATATGTGTATATCATTTTAATTAGTAGAATTTTTTTAAACTATAAACTGCATACATTTATCCACGATCATTACTGATTTTGGTTAATAGTTTTGAAATATGAAATTCATTCCAGATGTCCGGAAGAAACGAAATCATCAACAAGTCTGGAAGTAGCGTCATCGAAGGGCGATAGAATGGTATGCACGGACAATAATTATGTTGTACATGTTGCTGGATCAAGTTGGAGGACAGATGAATGTACTTCGTGCAAGTCTGTCATATTATGTGTATTCTTTTATTATATTTTGAAATTAATAAATTGAATTGCATTATTTGAAGTTTTGCTTAAAATTGCAAGTAAACTATTATATAGCAAATGAAATAAATTTATTAATCGGATAAATATCGTGTTATTTAGCTATCTTAAATGCTTAGATGTGTTGCAATTGATGATGAAGCAAAAATTGAATGCTTCGAGGAAAAATGTCGACAGTTGATAGATTGTCGAGGAATGCCGTTAACAATTAAAGGAAGATGCTGTCCAGTATGTTCAGGTATATTAATTTACTTGTATTATATCAATGTTTTTCAAGAATAAATAAAAAATATTTTTAACG